TGAAACTGCAAGTACCATCCCTTGCCCATTATTTATTTACCTAACTGAATTTTGAACCTGATTTGCCAGACCCCACCTGTGCTCAGAGAGGGCTAAGAAACACTTTTATGTATGACCTCTAATTTCAAAGCTCAGGGTCATTACTTATTTATGGACTGTCCAAAAAGATTTTTTCCACTTTCTTCTAATGCCTTATTTCTTCCTTACCTTTACTGCTTCTGACATTTGGGAACAGATTCTCTCCATCTCAGAAATGTGAGCAATGGTGAGACTTAGCATGAAGGTGACTTTCATTAAAACACCAGCTATACAGAGCCAGGCACACTGGCATGTGCCTGTAGTCCCAGCTACTCAGAAGGCTGAGGCAGGAGGATCACTTGAGCCCAGGAGTTTGAGGCTGCAGTGAGCTATGGTCCTGCCACTGCACTCCAGCCTGGCCAACAGAGTGAAAACAATAACAACAACAACAACAACAACAAAATCCAGTTGCAATCTTCTAGCCTATGGAGGCCACCTTTGTGCAACTTAGGAAAAAGTGCACCCTCTGCCCAGCACAGCGTTCTGACAGCACTTGGCTGGTTGGGGTTCAGTCCTCACTTGCCTTCTCAGCCCAGTGCCTTTGTGCGTGACACTTGTTGCTCCACCATTTGTAGAAGCATATAGGCCCTATCAACCCGAAACTTTTCAAGATTCATCTTCCATTCAGAGAACATTGTTAATCTCAAGTTTCAGCCATAGCTTCCTCTTATTTCTACCATAAGGACTTCCTGTTCCTCATTCAACTTCTTCCTTCTCGTTTTCTTAGTGACATGGTGATTGTATGTTGGGGAAAAGGTGAAGAAATCAATTAATCTCCAAGTTTAACCACCCTTAGAGACTACCCTTGAGAAAGATGAATTGTGTAGTAGTATATTTAAGAATGTGAGAAATCTGGCACAGTTTGGGTTCAAAACCCAGTTTGGTTCAAAACCCAATTCACTCATTCACTAGCCCTGAGAGTTTTCACAAGTTGTCTAAACTTGCTCTACGTCTTAGTTTCTGCAGGGATCAAAAGAGTTCTTACTTCTTAGGGTCATTGTAAAGATGACTGACCTAATACTTATAAAGCCCTTGATGCAATGTCTGCCATAAGGAGATCACTCAATAAAAGTTAAATATTAGTACGATCCCCATGAGGTAGCAGTGCCTTTCTCCCCTTGGGAAGGAAGCTTGGACTACTTTATCTTGTTGCACGTGGCTTTGTCTATGCCAGCATGCTGGGTATGTACAAATCTCTGCCGGATAGAGACTGTAAAAGCTGGTACTTACTTATCTTTCCCAAATAATTATTTTGATTTCAGAAATGAGATATCAAAGATGCTGCTTGTCTGCTTGTTAGATCTTATGTTTAAACCATTTTGTTTAACTCTTAATCCTCTGGTTACTACCCTTTCAGTGGCCCTTTCTGCTTTCTTTTGTGTGTGCGTATGGCATTTTATTCAAGGGGAAGCTGAGGCTCTGTTGCTTAGGGAGTGAGAATGGTTGTTCCAGTCTGCCTGAGAGTCAGTCTCAGTCTGTACCTGTTACCTGGTGTGTTATTTACAACGACCCTTTCCCACTCTCAAATTTTTGGTTTGGTCAGTGAATTAACAGGAAGTTTTTCTGTATTGTATTCCCATCCTGAACTCAACTTGAAAATCACTGCGGTTAATAAGGAAATATTGCTTTGGGGAGGATTGTGTGTGAATGGTATAGAAGCAAACAAACAAAAAGATTGAGAGCCAGTCTCTAAACATTGCCCTAGGGATCTCTTTCTGGAAAAAAGAATTTTTTGACATTTATTTACTTTCTGTTGATTCAGATTCTGAAAAACTAGGACTCTTAGACATTGTTCATGGACCATAATTAACACTTTTACATGAATAAGTTCCTGATACCCACCTTTCTCCAGCTCATTATGTAGAGTTGCTCTTGTGAGAATCAGCTCAATGGCAAATCAGTGCTGGCCTTTCAGAGCATCTACCGGTGTGATGTTCCATTGGGAGCTCACATTTGAAGCACTCATTGGTCTTCTCCCTCCACATTTATAATATCTCATCCATGATGGGTCATCACATGGGCCTCTTGCATGGAGATTTTAGCAACTGTGAAGGATAAGTGCCTATCTCTTTGGCGTGCCTCCAACTGAGCCGTGCATTATACCACACAGCTTAGATTTTAATTCAGCACCATTCAGTAACAGACAGAAACTTTGTTTTATTCATATTCTTCACATTCATCAGAAAAGATTGGACATTTAAAGGGAGCTGATTATAAAATAGATTTTTCCATAATGTGAATGAATATCCCTTATACTTTGGAATCTGACTTAAAAAATGTTCTCAATTTAGAACATACCTGTTACTCTTCGCCCCAAATGTCTCATTCACTAGTTCAAAGCCAAGGTGGCATGAGGTCTTGGGTGGCTCATAACCAACTGTCTTGATATGTGTTTTCATATTCTACCAACTTAAGTGCCTCATTCAATTCTATCAATTTCATAGTGTCTAAAATTCTTGTTTTTCTTAAATTATTCAGGAAATAAATGCTGCATCTAGAGAAATAATAATGTCTGCCTTGCATATCAGAGAAAATGACAGTTATGTCATCATCTGTAATTTAGGTTTCTTAATATCTTCCGTAGTCACAAGGAACAGAGACAAAAACACAGTCTGGGGGGTAAGGAAGAACTGAGCTGCTACCTTAACAGCTGCCCCTTGCAGAGTCCTAAAATGTGCCTAAAAATCAAGTGGAAAATATCTTTTTAAAAATATATGTAATGTAGAATACTGTGCCCTATCCCCAGATAATCAAATATATCAAGTTGTATGTAGTGGCCAGGGATATGTATTTTTAACAAGCATCCCAGGAAAATGCGATGCACTCAACTCTAAACCTGCGATCCCCAAGCCCTGGGCCACAGCCTGCTACCAGTCCATGGCCTATCAGGAAACAGACCACGCATGCTGCCTGAGGTCCGCACCACCCCCGTTTCACCCACAACACCCCGCACCTCCACCCCTGGTCCATGGAAAAATTGTCTTCCATGAAACTTGTCCCTGGTGCCAAAAAGATTGGGGACCACTGCTCTAAACACTTGCAAGTAGGGGAGACTTTTAAAAGTTGGAGGCAGTGCCAACTGATTGGGTATGGTGCCCTGGAGTACCATGTTTATGTCAAAGACCCTCAGACTGAGCACAGGCACATGAAAAAGTGTAAAAATAATGACAATAATAGCTGAATTCAATGGATCAATAAGATGAATTCAGATTTTTTTATGTGCTCCTCTGTTTCCAGCAACAGAGGTAAAAAAGAGGCAAAAACTCTCTCCTAGGGTGCTAACTCAGGAAGTTCTGAGCCTTATGCCTGAAAACTTCACATTAAGGCAATGGTTCCCAACTGGGGTTGACTTTACTGCCTCTCCCTGCAAGGGATATTTGGCAATGTCTGGAGACATTGTTGATTATCAGAATTCCAGCCAGAGGTAGGAGGTGCTATTGGCATCTAGTAGGTAGAGGCTGGGATGCTACTAAACATCCTACCATGCATAGGACAGCCCCCACCACAAAGAATTGGCAGATCCAAGATCTGTGTAGTGTTGCAGTTGAGAAACTCCGCTCTAAGGCTTGCTCAGGGCCTGGGCTTATGGAAGAAGCCAGAGAGGTCCCTCATTCCCAAGGCAATTCCTGTGTCCTTAAATCAGCAGAAGACTGCACCCTCCTCTGTGATCCAGCACTCAAATCCATTATCATAGCACAGAAGGGAACCTGGCAGATAGGTCACCATGGTAAGCAGAAGCAAAGTATGTCAGTATGCAGGCCTGGAATTCAGGGTTAGGGCCAGTGTCTGCGGGCTCTATAAAGTTCTGCTTTCATTGTTTAGCTCAGAGCACCGGGCTAGAGTCCAGTAGATCCTGGCCTTCAAATAATTCCTCCCCGTCCTTTAGTAGGCATCCCCTCAGGGGCAAAATCCCTGAGCCAATCAGAAAGTAGTTGTTGCGGATTTTTCAGTTCTTTAGTCTTGTGATATAGTGCACAAAGTTTCTGGGAGATTTATAACCCTCCAAAGGGATCCTGGACCAAATTCTAGACATTAACCACAGCTCTGCTACTTCTGAGTCCTGTGAACTTAGGCATAAATGACTCATCTGTAAAGACAAGACTACCTCACTAGGCTAAAGGAGAAACTTGGTGCAACAACATTTTGAAAACTGAATTAATCATACAAACGTAAATAATACATAAAAAATAAATATTCAACCTTCTTTCAACGGAATTTAACATATATGTAATGAGTACTCACTAGAGTCAGGATGTTCTACTAATCCAGGTCTTATTTTAAAACAGTGATCTCAAACTTTATTAGGTAGCGGAATTACCTGGAGGCCTTGTTTAAACCCTAGGGCCTCAACTCCAGGCTTTCTGAGCCACTGAGTCTGGGATGTGGCCCAAGAACTTGCATTTCTAACAAGTTCCCAGGTGGTACTGAAGCCGCTGGTCTGGGGACCACACTTTAGGGACCAAGAGGCTCCGAAACATCCTTTACCTTCCACTTCTCCATGAGCATAGGTAGTTTTAGACTGAGCCAGCTTAGAAGGTCTACTCTGGCCACAGTAGAGGGTGACGTGCCTGGCTGCTCACCTGTTGTTCTTGTTAATACAGATACCTGGCTCTCTGACCAGGCCTACTGAATTGGAGTCTCAGGAGAGTGAACCCCACACGCATGTGTATTTTGCAGAACTACACTGGAGTTTCTGATAATGACAAATATCAATGACTGGACACTTACTTCCTGCCAAATGCTGTGCCAAGTCACCCATAATCATTATTTCATTTAATCTTCCCAATAACCTTATGAGAAGGCTTCTATTATCATTCCAGCTTTACAGAGAGGATAAGTTACTGTTCTAAGGTAACACGAGAATTATAGTTAATAGTAGAACCTGGACTTGAAGCCAGGCAGCCTGACTCCAGGAAACAGGCTGGTAACCACAAAGTCCCTAGGCTCACCTAGTTTGTATTAAACCTTGTGTATGAAACCTAGTCCAATGCTTTGAGCATGACCTGTGGAGAGAAAGAACGAAAGAAAACACTGAGACAACCTATACTATGATAGGGTAAGTTTTGAAATCATCTATTGGGCCATTCAGGCAAGAATACCATAACTTTTAACTAGATGAGTGCTATTTTACTTTGTTAAAATATCATCCCATAAGGAAAAACAAAACACTTTCTGCACAAAATAAAATCCTGGTGGTGACGATGGTGAGATTTATCTTTAGCGGCAGGCTGGGTGCTCCCCAGGAGCAGGCAGTGAAGTTTGGTATGGAGAGTGTGGACTGCAGTTCTAGAAGAAGAATCAGATGACATCCCCTCCAATTACAGCCAGATCGCATCAAAACCACAGATGCTTGCAAATGGAAATGCCAACACTTGAAGATCCTTTGAAGGCAGATGACTGTCATGCCAACGGCTAATGCGATACGCTCATCTGCTTGAGCTTCTGGCACCACCCTTCCTTCCTTCTAGCTGTAAATGCAAGGACCCTAGAGCACTTCCTAGAGTTTGGCACTTCTTGCCAAACCTTCGAGTTAGACCCGCACTGTATTGCCATGAGTGTTAGAACTGCGAGAGACTCTAGGGATTATTTAGTCCACCCACTCCTTTTTTATAAAAGGTCGTTTAGATCTACCTTGGAAGGGGATGTAGTCTACTATGTGTTAGGGGCAGAGTTCAGGGCAGAACCCAGGCCTCCTGGCTCTCACTCTAGAGCTTTCTATTAATAGACACCCTTGACCAGTTATTTTGGGTGGGTGAGTGGGGCCAATCTGAACTCTCAGACAAAAAAAAAATTAATGGTATTTTAGAAAAATGAGGATAAAAAGGACTGTTTGTTGGCAATGAAATTAATATTTGTATCCACACTTATGCCAGGTTTGTAGTAATAATGTTTGCCACTTTAAAAAAAAAAAAAACCCATAAGAAATGCTTGGAAATTTGGTGCTTTGAATATCTCTTGGCTGTCTCTTTCATGATACTCTCAGGCTAAACCAAATTAAAATGTTGCCAATAGACAAAAACTGCCTAAATAAAATTATCAGAGCATAAGCTCTTAACCACTAAGGTTCACACTTTCTGAGGTTCAACTACAAGTTTACAATCAGAGACTCATCGTTGCATCCCGTGTTCTGGCTGCCGGAGGATTGCTGGTTTAAGACCATATGGGTCCTGAGGATGGAATGATTGAGTTTTTATTGCCTGTACCCGATTGTAACCAGCATATGAGAATTAACGTACTAATCTTCCGGATGCTTTCAATTAGAAGCGTGGTTGTGCTACTGGGTTGAATGGGACTTAATGTTCTCTGTGGTCCTTCTCTCTCCCCAGGGCACGTGCACATCACAGACTTCAACATTGCTGCGCTGCTGCCCAGGGAGACGCAGATCACCACCGTGGCTGGCACCAAGCCTTACATGGGTACGGGTTCTGTGAGTGGTTGCAGTTACTAAGAGCAAAGCGTTTGCTTTTCATTTTTGTAAACACCATTTACTACGGGTTGAGTCATCTGTAGGGGTTTGAAACTAGAGCTGACAGGTTCCTCTCTGACTTTACCTGGGGAGCTTCTGATTTCCTGGGTCTGAGTTGGGTCTCAGGACTGCACGAGCAAGAACCTAAGATGATCTTGATTGAAGAGGGCCATTGATCACATTTTGAAAACATTATTTCATGAGGTAATTAAGAAGACAGTTTCTACTCACTTCCTAACAAAAAAAAAGAATACTAATTAATTCAATAGATATCTACTGTCTCTGTATGGTTGGCGCTGTTTCAGATGCTGGTGACCCAGTAGTGGGCAACACAGACAAGGTCTCCAGCTCAAGGGATTACATTCTAGTGAGAGCTGATTAAAAAAAAAAAAGAATGAAATAAAGAAGAAACAGTAATAAGCAGGATGGTACTAAGTGACAAAAGCATGATTTTGACCATTATTGACATAATACCGCATTACGTGCATAGGGCTATAAAGTTTACAAAGTACCTTCCTGCTATCGTTTTAGTTTTAGCTTCAGGGCCACAACAATCCCATGAGCTCTTCTTTTGAAAGACGAGGACATTCTGTCTGAGAAAGGTTAAATGCCTCATCTTACTTATAGTGAGATGAGGAACTGATTATTGCCCTGATGATTCAGAATTTACTAAGGAGTTACTAACAGGGTAAGTTTAGATGTGAAACTGTCAGTTGGTCTCATTTAATTGTGGTAACAAATCAACTACAAATTCTAAGTTCGGTCGTTGGGGACAGCCGTCTCTGTGTAGACACCGGTTTGGCCAAACTAGTCCTACTTTCTGGCCACGCCCAAATATATAAAGGGAGAGCTGTTGCCCTGTGGGGACGTGCAGTATTCAGGAAGAGGGAATTCTTCCTCCCTTCCCCCTGTGGTTCCTAAGGCAGGTGAGTCAGATCTCAGGAGCTTTATCTGTAAATTCTTGGGGTGCATGTGAGAAGAGGGGCCTGGCGTTTTATTCTTGCATAGATTTCTATTTAGTCACTGGACTTCCTGACTGGTGCTGGAGCTAACGCAGTCCGGTGAGCCATGGAAAGTTGCTAAGTTCGGGAGCTGATGTTCCCGGGGATCACAGCGGCAGGAGGCAGAGGGATGGCAGTGAGCGTGAGTGTTTGGGCAGAGTGGGGCTGGATTAGCTAAAGGATGTGGTCCAGCTTCTCAAGGGCCCCCGCAGTGCCCAGGGTTGTAGCCTGGAAGGGAGGGAGGCTCCTATCAGCATGGTTTCCATGGTGTCCTGCAGACACCGCCAGTCCCGATAGAGCACAACTACAGCAGAATCTTGGAGGGTGGAGACCAGGCGTAGGGTGGTTTAAAAGTTCTTCAAGTAATTCTGTCGTGCAGCTGGGATTGACAACTTCTGCCACAGACCGTGAGCTGTAGGTATCAGCTGTTGGAAGCACCGAAAGAGAGATCACCCTGCAGCAGAGGTAGCACGTGTGTTAGGATCCCTCTGCCTCCGCTGTCCTCCTTTCACGTCCTTAAAACCAATAGTACTTTCTAGAAAAATGCAGAAGGAAGCGCGTGAGAGCCAGGTCAGTCCTCCATCTCCACACCAAGGTGACAGAATCCAGCCTGCTGGGTGGGTGGAGGAGTTTTGAATCAGATATGAGAATAGTTTTAAAATGCACAGGACCGAATTTTAAAGTAGCTAAAGGAAATGTTGTAATAAGCAAACGGGATTAAAATATACTGGGCAACAGACTGTGCTATCATTAGGGAAGGCCCCTATCCACGAGAACAGGAGGTTAGACACCGCACGGTTGCTGGGAGACGATGGAGGACTGAAAACTACTCAGGCTTCTTCTACCCTAATTAGTTAAGGTGCTTAAAGCAGGAATGTCGCTGTTGAAACTGGTGGGATTAAGTCAGGGGTGGAATGAATCGTATCAGTTAGATATGGTCAGAGTAATTCACAGGCAAAACATTTGAACTTGAAAAGGGCGAGAGCAGTGTCGCTTTCTTTTAATATTTCATTCTCTTCCCCCATGTAACTCGAGAGAGAGAAAGGAAACGAGAACTCCCTACCAGCTGAGCCACCTCACTTTCCAACAGAAAGAAATCATCCATGGGGAAAAAATGAGCCCGATTTTATACGATATTTGAACAACTGCAAATTTCACGGCTTCCAATTACCAGTGGGGGGAATAAATCTCTTTTGTCACTTCTAAAATAATGGACACATATAATTCAGCCTATTTTCTACCTAAAATCCATGGTACTCAAATGATAAAAAGGAGTATTCAAGCCTGCTGCTCTGATGAGTTTATTCCCCAGGTTTCCTGGGTTTCCATATTAAGGGCTATTTTCCTGGAGCCAAATCAGAAAATGTGCCTCTGGGTTCCTAGGGCTGGTTTCCATGGTGAAAAGAAAGGGAGGCCACCTTTCTTTCCTCTCCCCAGTGATTTTAAGTACAATATCTGTATAATGTAATTTTTGTGAAGTTGGCATTTCTAGTCTTTCCACAAGATAGAGCTAGGAAATCAGAATCTAGGCAAAATTCTATGCACTTCTCACTTTCACCCTTATAATTAAAAATAACTAATGTTTATTGAAATCTTTCAGGGGCCCAGACAATGTGTTAAATGTTTTACATTTATTTACTCATTTATTTTTCTCAACAGCCCCATGAGGCAGACTGTACTTCTCACCATTTTACAATGAGGAAAATCAGAAGCTAAATAACTTGCCCAACATCACACGGCTAATAATTGAAAAGCCTGGATTTAAACCAAACTCTCTCTGACATCAGAAATCAAGCTCATCCTTAAAATAAAGATGCAGACAATGTGTTAAATGTTTTACATTTATTTACTCATTTATTTTTCTCAACAGCCCCATGAGGCAGACTGTACTTCTCACCATTTTACAGTGAGGAAAATCAGAAGCTGAATAACTTGCCCAACATCACAGGGCTAATAATTGAAAAGCCTGGATTTAAACCAAACTCTCTCTGACATCAGAAATCAAGCTTGTCCTTAAAATAAAGATGCAGAGAGAAATTTAAAAAT